ATAGGTTCATATGGTCCATATGCCATTTTACTTGTATGACTTCTGCATCACAATAATGTCATCTGCACCCTTCATATTCCGAACATTAAGTACTGAAGCTCTTAAAAACATATCACAGGAAGCATATCACTCCCCTGTAGGGGTGAACAGATAAAGATTTTTTAGGTTGATACTGATGGCCGATTATTAACCAGCCATATCGGCCAATACTGATTCAATTGCTGATATGCAGCTGGGCAGCTTGGAGAGCACTGTCTGGATGGTAAGTCTGTTGGAGGGAGGGGGGGCAGATAAGGCCCTGTGTGGTGAGGGAAGGAGTAGAGCTGGGGCAGGGGCAGATATAGCACAGCCAGGGAGAGCTGGGGTGTGGGACGGAGCTGCGGGTGACTCCTGCAGCTGCACACACCCTGGAGGAGGCATGAGGGGCATGTGACCCCTGAATCTGTCCGTGGGGTGAGGCCGGGCTGCCTACTATGTCCTCAGGGCTGGTGGCTGTGCTAACCTCTTCCCAGCAAAGGGACTGGGTGGACAATGACAGTGCTGGGAGGGGGCTACAGGGGTGGGGTTACAGCCACCCCAAAATTCACTGTAGTGCCCTGTAGCCCCACTTCCCAGCACTGCTGTTGTCCACCCTGCCCCAAGTGGAGCCCCAGCCCAGCCCCCCTGCAGGGAAGAGGCTGATACAGCCCCCAGCCCTGATCCTGCAGTGGGTAGCCCACCCTCACCCCACACACAGAACCGGGGGGGCACATGCCCCCCATGTCTCCCCCAGGGGTGTCAACAGTAGTGAGAGCTGCCCCCATGGTCCCTGGATGAACCACCCATGGTTACATCCCATGCCCCACCCTGCCCCAGTTGTGCAGCCCTAGCCCTAACCCCCCCACTTCTCTCCCCCTCGCCCCTTCCCTCTCACAGACTTACCAGCCAGATGCTGCTTTCCAAGCTGCTGGGCTGCATTCCTGGCTGTGTGCATACTGTGGCTGCACACATGCACGTGACATTTATTGGCGACATTATCTGTCACATCATCCAAAAAAGCCAATTGATGATCGTGTCAATTTTATTGATGCCGATATAATATGGACTGATATATTGGTGCACCTCTACTCCCCTGCCCTCTCATCCGAAGTCATAAAAACATCTCTCTCTAGCTCAAATAAAAAAATCATCAATTTTGACTCTTCCTTTTGGGGGAATCATAAACAATAGATTTGTTGAGCCATTTCGCTACAAGTTTCTGATTGGTAGCTTACTTTATTTCCATTTATTATTTCTCCAGTCCCTTCAGTTGTCTGAATACTAGCTATTCTTCCACTATTACAGTTGTGACTTAAGGAAGGACTTACGGCATCTTGTTCAGTTCTTTTGACCTCAGTTTTTTGTTGCTTCTAAAGTTCCTGCTAGTTCTTTGTCACGCTTCCACTTGGTAGAATTCCTGACATTTAGTCTCACACTATTGCCTGACAAGATACACTGGCAAAACGTCTTGTCTGTCTCCAGTCTATTGCCGATCTGCTTGGAGCAAATTACCTGATTCTGGCAACATGTTGAAGGCAGAGCATAAACATGTTACCTAGCCAAAAATGTGCTTTGATATGCTCTGTGCACTTTATTCAACAGATTCCTCTTCATTCCAAAATCTTCTGTATTTTCTTTCTGATATTTTACTCTTGCTACTTTTTGCATCTCTTTTTCTTCTGCTCCATTTTGACTATGTTTCAACATTCAAACAGACTTACTTAGGAGGGCCATGATCCAACATCTACTGAAGTCAATGGAAGAAAGTTAATGTACACAAAGTGTTCAGTTTTGGGAACTGGTGCTGGCATTTGCATAAATGCATGTTGCTCTATTAATATCTGTGCTCAACCTTTCCATTATCTATCATTATTTATAGCTGTTTCAGTTGCTTTGATCTGTCATATAAATTGTTGGCTTGTTGTTGTCTTTGTCTAAATCACTGTTCTCAAAAGTATCATCTCCTAACTTTCTAATCACAATTCCCTGTCCCAAAAAACATTTTTGTCTGCACTTAACACAACAAATATTTAATGTGAGTTTCAGCATTGTTAAAAAAAAAAAAAAACCCAACAAAAAACAAAAACCCCTCCAAAAACCAAAGTTTTTCCTTTTCCCATGAAAAGATAGGGAGCCCAGGATGTGTATATGTTTTACCAATGATGCTAAATGTTCTTTTTTTGCTAATCTTGGAAAAAAAACAGTAAAATACAAATAAGATTGTTTCATTGAGTGTAACATGTTTCATTTAGTATAGCTGATATCCTGCTAAATTGCACAGATATTTCTACCAATGAAGAATTTTAAATGTAAGTTAGCAATTGGTCGATGGTTTAGATGAGCAGGATATAAGGATTACTAATGTGAAATACACATCCTGACCCTTCTGTGAACTATATAATTGAAAAGGCTGCTTTTGCCTTCAGAATTGCTTGAGGCCTGGGCACTTAAAGAAGGACATAAGGAGTAGAGAGATGTGTTCCATACATGTAATATAAACTATGTTAAATCTGTCATTTAAAATATCCTTACTGCCTGGGTGCACTGATGCTGGGGTATTGCATGTTTCTATTCTGATAAGGGTAGAATAATTCTGCAAGCCATAATTCTTAGTTACTTGCAGCTTTAACACGAACTGAACCCACTGTTATCTGCAAAACTCCAAAAGTGCTGTGCATATAGTTTGGTATTCTAACCACACATTAATTTGTGACTCTGGAATTAGTCATGGAATCTGTCACACCCCAAGGGTGTGATTTTGCGTGTGTGCACTTCGGCACTGCTAAATTATTTCCCGCCACTCGGAGCTTTCTTTGCAGGGTGCATTTCTTAGTTGCAAAGAGAAATGCACGGTGCAAAGGAGTTCCCGCCACCCGCATGCAAATTTGTGTCCCACTGTTGGCCAGTTCTAAATTATTCCCACGTGGCGGCTAGCGATTGGCTTGCTAGCTGTATAAGAGGCTTGAGCGGTTTCCGCCCAAGTTGGAGAACTCCAAGGAGAACCCCGCAAGGGAGGACTCCACAACCATCTGGAGGAAGAGGACTTCACATCTTGTGAAGAACTCTAAGCGCTGCGGAGCCTATCGGACCCAGCGTGTACCTTGAGAAGGCTATAGGGGTCTGATCAACCTCTGGCCTCTCCCCGTCACCGAGCGGGATCCCTCGACGAACCCCTTCCCTGCGCGCAAGTTCCATGGAGCCTAGCAAACTTCGTGTTAGTGTATCCAGAGCTCTTTCTCCGAGTTGTTTTCTTCGGTTGACACGACGGGCTCACATGTTTAGAGCCTTCAACCGGATTGGGCTAGAGGTTCGCATGGAAGGAACTCTTGTCCGCCTCTCTTCTTTTCTGTCTGTAACTGCAACTCAAGCAAGTTTTCCTGCCTGCACCGCGACCATCTACAGTGTAAGTAAAATAATCTTTAATCAACCACTATGCGTCTGTGCCTAATTCTAGTCTGCCGGCCTGCATTCCCCGACCCGCATGCCAGGGCTGCTGGCCACAGCCCGCCGCGCGCCCCCGAGAACCTTGGACCGCTCCCGGCCTGCACAGAATCTAGTCTGCATGCTGATGAAAAGTTTGATGTCATGGCCTATGGACTTTCTTTATGTCGTTTATCATGAAAAAAATGTTGCTAAAACCAAAACAACCGGAAAAAACACACAAATCAGAAGCTCAGGAAACTGTCTTCTGACAAAGGGAAGAGAAAATAAATAAGAAAAGAGGTATATCTTTCTGTGCAGGAATGAGCCAGACATGCAGTCAATGGAGTATTTATTCAGTGCCTGTTTTGATTTTTGCCTATTACCTGGCTATTACAGGCTACTCTATCACTATTCTCCATTAATATGAAGCAACAAAGCAAAGAAAATCCCTGAGCTAATTTGAATGAAATGGAGAAAAAGGTTTGTATTGTGATCTGTCTTCTGTGACAGAGTCCTAATGTTGTGGAAAAATGCTAATTTAATCTATTCAGGAATATTGGTGAGTTCTCAAATGTCATTCAGAAACGCTTTGTATTAGCATTTTTCCCTGTTTGACTTCTCTCTGAACATAATAAGATTTTTTATTTTTGTGACGTTTGGTTGTGGAAGCAATGTAACCATAGCAGGAATATAAATGATTGCTGGCCATACTGTTGCAAGCAAATCATGATGTCAGATAGTTCTATAAAGAAATAAACAAGATTTTTCATTTTAAATTCTATTCTGATTTTACATGAAGCTACAGTGGCATACAGTAACCATACTGTTTCTCTACTTTCCCTTTAATTTTGCAGGAGTTAAGGGAAATGTTTGTGGTCCACCTACTTGGTCATTCACATGTACAAAATGAGGTCTTTTGACTATCAAACACTGTTTAACATATATTCTACAGCATCTATAAAAATATTAAATAAATTAGCATGTGTGTGTGTACCTAGACCTATGGACCATTGTCCTCTGCTGGATAGAGATGAAACAGCTCTTCTTTGACAGTTGTCTCCCACAGTTGTCAACCATTGGGGATGATTTGGATTTTTGCATGTTACACCAAAGAGTTTATTAAATTGTTGTAACTTTGTTGACTTCAGTTCCAAATAACTGTCTTTTCTAGCTATGTATGATTTTGCAGGACCTCACTATCTGTGTGTGTGTGTATGTGTGTGTGTGTGTGTGTACACCTACTATAGAAAACAGGGGGACCCCACCCAAAACCTTCTGAAGTATAAAGGGCTGCCACATAATTTTGATCCTACAGATGGGTAGGCAGAAGTAACAATCTACCCATTTGAACTGGTCACATAAGCGTTGGACCAAGGGTTATTGAAATTGCCTGGCCAGCCTTATCAGATTATAGAGTGAAAACAGCCCAAGGGGGGCACGTTACATACTCTTGTAGGGGTTCTGCAGTATGCATGGTGTTCTGAACACTAAGACTCTTCTGAAATTCTTGCCTTAATGGCACAACTGAATCCTGTTTTTTGTATTTGCCCTAATGTAAGTGAACAGGGGAAAGGAAACAGGGCAGTTTGCAAGCAATTATCTGGGGGCAAGAGGAAAAAGAGGAACTGAAGCCAGACATCAGATCCTGCTCCTAGAAGGTAAATGAGCTGGGTGAATTTGGCTTGTTTGTGTATTTGCTGAGCATTTGTTTGGGTGAGCTCTGAACAGTTAGTGACTGCTGCTTGCTGAGTGATTATTGTCTGTGGTCTGACAAGGCCCTAACCAGGGGGTAGAGCAGCCCAGACCCAGGTAAGTACAGAAGGAGATTCCCTGAGCAACCAGAGGAGTGAGCTAACAAGGAAGTTTGCAAGCATTTCTCAAGTCAGCAGGTCAGTCTGCTGCCCTGCTCTTTAAAGGGGCGCCTTCAAGATGCATTGTTCCTTTAATTGAGAACTACAGTAGATGTCTAGCTCAAGTAACTTAAACTTAGCATTTAAATCTTGTTTTACATTTCAATATTTGTTTAATAATATTTAGCTGCAATTTGAACAGAGTAAGGTTGAACAGAAGGTTAATCTGTAAAGTCAAGTTTCTAATCCAAGTGAACCCATAAATAGATATGTTCCTAAAACAGCAGACTAAGTTTTAGCAATTTAAAAAATGCAGAGAGAAGTCCAACAGAAGGATGGGGGCTATGCAATTTATTTTACTGAGTACAGAATACACATATGTATGATTATCTGCCTTGGGGGCAAGCTTCAAATGTGGGCACCCAATACAGAGAGGTCCTAACTCTGATAAAACAGGTACATTCTTTTGAGGGTAGGATGGTGGAACTGGAGCAGCTAAAGAAGGCAGAGAGGTTCATAGATGAGGCTTTCAGAGACATTCTAGAGCACTCCCACCTCCCTTGCAACAGCCCCTATGTTGCTGAGAAGTTTGAGAGCCTCAGGGATGGAAAGGAGGGAAAATATCCCTTAGATGGAACTTTCCAGCTGATGTCATAGTTCCATCTTTCTCCAAGGATACTCCTCCAAGGGAAGGGACCCCATCTGTCTGGTGAAAAGGTAGTAGACCACATGAGAGCTGTAGATAGGCTGCTAGTGGCTTCTGGGTAACAATGTAAGTAACAGTAACAGAGGGAGGTGCAGGAGAGAGATCTTGGAAGCTAAATTTTGGCTGCTAGGCAGGAGATTTAAGTCCAGGACCTCCACAGTAGCATTCTCAGAAATTCTTCCCATGTCACAAGCAGCACCAGAGAGCCAGGTGGACCTCCAGAGTCTCAATGTGTGGATGAGATGATGGTGCAGGGAGGACGGTTTTAAGCCTATCAGGAATCAGGGAACCTTTTGCAACAGGAGGAATCTGTATAAAAAAGATGGGCTCAGCTTGAACCAGAACAGAACCAGACTGCTAGCATTAAAATTTAAAAGATCATAGAGCAGTTTTTAAACTAAGAAGTGAGGAGTAACCAACAGGTGTACAAGAGCACATACAGGTTGGGTTGATACAAACCCAAAGGGGGACACCATATAGATTCTATAGTGTCTTGAAGAGAATAGAAGGGGAGTAAGAATTATAACTATAGATAATAGCATGGATAAATCAGGCCATATAGAGTTCCAATCAAATAGCATGAAAAGTAACACGCAGGTGAGCAAAGCACAATTTACAAGTACTTCTGCACAAATGCCAGAAGCCTAAAAATAAGGTGTGTGAGCTAGCAGAGATTTAATGAAAGGATGATAACCAATGGGATTACCTGTTATAAAAAGTTACAGACTACATAGGAATGACAGATTAGGACATGCAGGAGTGGCACTGTATGTTAAGGATAGTATATGGTAGCATATGCTGTGCCTGGCTTTTTGTGATCAATGACCTGATGATGAATGTCTTGTATTTTAAAGCTTATCTAAGTTTATCCCAACTACATAGCTGGTCCAATAAAAATATCACCCTAAGAAATCCTTGCCTCAAGGATAGTATAAATAGTAACAACATACAAATCTTTCCTGAAAGAAAAACTACTATGCATTCCCTGTGGGTAGAAATTTCATATTTGAATAAAATCATTATAGTACTAGGATTGTACCAGCAACCACCTGATCAGGAAGGTGAAGGTGATTATGAAATGCTCAGGGAGATTAGAGAAGCCGCTAAAATGGATCAAACAATAATAATACAAGACTTAAACTATCCTCACATAGACTGGGTAAATACATAATTAGGGCAAGATGTATAGATAAAATTTGTGTGTGACACAAATGACTATAATATAAAATAACTCATGTTGGAACCCACAAGAGGAGAAACAATTCCAGACCCAATCCATTTGATGACTAGGGTATAGAAGGTTCACTTAGGGATGATAAGACCATAGCAGAAAAGCTAAATAATTTATTTATACCTGTATTTACCACACAAGATACTGGAAATTCCCATGCCAGATCAAACCTTCCTAGTAGCACGGCGCGGGGGCGGGGGGGGGGGGGGGGGGGATGTGCTCCCATATCTGTGTGCAGGGCCAGGCAGACTGCTGCTGTGGGCTCAGGCTACAGTGGTACTGGGCTCTTCCTGGTGGGGGGGCTGGGCTGAGCTGCACTCGGGGCAGGCAGTGGTGGCACTGAGAGGGGGGCTATGGAGGGGGCTGCAGCCACCCCAAAATTCACTATAGCCACTGCCCACCCCACCCCGAGTGCAGCCTAGCCCAGCCCCCACTGGGAAGAACCCAGTGCAGCCCCAGCCCACAGCAGCAGCTCGACTTGTCCCACATGCAGATCCAGGGGCACACACCCCACATGGCCTCCCGTGGTGCACGCAATGGTGGGAGCTGCCTCCCACCTCCCTGTGGGGAGGGCGGGGGGAGGCATTTACCGGCCACATCAGGGGGAAAAAAAAAAAGCCAATTTCTGATACAGTAATTTTCTTTATATTGGTGCTGACCTGATATCAGACCAATGTAGCATTTTCCTAGCAGTCCTAGCAGTGCATCTCTAATGTATGTAACCTATAGTTACAACTGGCTTTTGTGCCAGAGGATTGCATGGTTGCCAACATAACACCTATCTTCATAAAGGGCTCCAGAGATGATCCTGGGAACTACAGACCAGTGAGTTTCACTTCCATGCCTGGCAAGTTGGTAGAATCTATGGACAAATAAGATCTGCTGGGGAAGAGTCAGCATGGATTTGTAAAAGGAAATTCTGCTTCACCAATATGCTGGAGGTCTTAGGGTATTAACAAGGATGTGGACAAGGGGGATTCAGTTGATGTTGTATATTTGGACTTTCAAAAAACTTTCAACAAGGTCCCTTACCAAAGGCTTTTAAGAAAACTGCATTGCCATGGGATTGGAGAGAAAGTTATTTCATGTATCAAGAGCTGATTAAAAGATAGGAAGCAAAGGATAGAGTTAAATGGTCACTTTTCAGGATGGAGGGAAGTAAAAAATTAGGCCCCACATGGCTCTACTGGGCCCAGGTTTGTTCAATATGTTCATCAATGACTTGGAAATGGAGGTACACAGTGAAATATCCAAGTTTGCAGATGATCCCAAATTATTCCGGGTAGTCAAATCCCAATTTAAGGGAGTGGGCAAATAAAAGGCAAATAAACTTCAAGGTAATGAATATAAGGAAAAATAACCTCAACTATAAGTACTCAATGCTGGGTTTTGAACTCACTGTTATGACTCAAGAAAGAGACTTTGGAATCCCTGTAGACAGTTCTTTAACAATATTATATCATTGTACAGTGGCAACCAAAAGAGTCAATAAAATGTTGAACAATACTAAGAACAGAATAGAAAACAACAAAGAACATCTTGATAACCCTATACAAATCCACGGTGCACCTTTATCTTGAATACTCTGTGCAGTTCTCATTCTTCTCAAAAATAGAATTAGAAAAAGGTACAGAGAAGGTCAGCCAAAATGAACGGAGGTATGGTGCAATTGCCATACCAGGAAAAACTAAAAATGCTAAGACTCTTCAGCTTGGAAAGGAAAAGACTGAGGGTAGATATGATAGAGGTCAATAAAATTGTGAATGGTGGACCAGGTGAACAGGAAACTGCTGTTCACCAAGTCCCAAATTACTATAACTAATGGGCACCTGCTGAAACTAGTAGGTGACTGGTTTAAACCTAACAAGAGAAAATATTTTTTTTACAGAAAGTGTAGTTAATTTGTAGAATTCACTGCCATTGGACATGGTGGTGGTAGATAGCACAGCCAGGTTCAGCAAGGGACTAGACGAATTCTTGGATGGTAGCTCTGTTAATAGCTGTTGAACAGAATGGTTGAAGATGTTTCCTCTGATATCTCTAAGGCAATAATGGTGGATGCCAGGGAAGGTAATGAATAGGGGACAGATCATTCTAGAGCTATCCAGTTCAATGCTTTCCCTCTAGCATCCACTTCTGCTACTTTTGGAGACAGGATACTGGGCTAAATGGACTATTGGTCTGATCTAGTATAGCACTTCTTACGTTCTTCATTAAGGCATGTTTACTCATCTTAACAATTTATGCAAGTCAGTAAAGACACAACTTAAGAAGAATTGCTTTGCATTAACATGCTTTTGCTCACATGTGGCTTATAAAAAAGAAACCTGTTTGGATTTATCTTAGTGTTCCATGGTAATCACTGAAATGTGTTGTCATAGCCTAGAGCTCTGAGTCTGGAAATGTCTTGGCACTGCTGCAGCTGCTATATGAAAAATTTAACTCATTATATGATGTGTTTTAACCCTAAATAAATTGTGTAAATCAAAGGTGAGAGAATGCTGTCAATTTGATTTATGTAGTTATAAATCATTGTCTTGTTTATGCATATGATAACTGCTGTGAAAAAAAAAAAAGATTAATCTGTAAGGTTCTGTATTGCTAAACATACCAGTAGATTTAGAATTAGTAGGATTTGTTGCACACTCTGACTTATTACCTATTTAAATTGGAACTAGCTTTGTAGGAGTGTTTAGGTTAGCTAATATTTGTGAAGTGCCGTGAAGAAATCTTCCAAGCACATGCATGGGCTGCATTTATACAGTCCATCAGCCCTGTTCATTTCAGTGTGAGGTACACAATTGTATACCCATCTGTAAGACTAGAGCTTAAAAACTCATACGGGGAAACATCCTAAATTAGAAAAATATG